GGGCGCTGCTCTGCCCTTGCCTCCAGCCTTGCCGCAGCTCCTCACCTTCTGGGCACGTCTTGTCTCCAGGGAGCGCCTCAAAGCACGCTGCAGAGCCGTCGCTGGCATCGTGCCCTGAAGCCAAGAGCTTGCACAGCCCAGAGGCGTGCGCGCAGACGCGACTGTGATCCTGCAGAGCAGGCCCGGCAGGTGAGTGCAACGAGGTGGAACCAGGGCACCATCGACCCTAATATACGCTGCTCTCTTACAGGGAGGATCTGCACCAGCCCTAACAGGGGATAAAGGCTCCTGTTTTCACCAGTGCAGGATGAAACCCACTGCAGCTGCCGCACCAGCAAAGCCTCAGTGCCCCGCAGAGAGCGGGCTCTGGTCTCACCACCTGGCGTGTCCTCCTGGAAGCGCCACTGTCTGCTGGGCACAAGCCAGGCCCAGAACGAGACAGGCCAGCCCCTACAGAGGGCAGCAAGTTCTTCCGTTTCTAGGCAGGTCTCACCACTCCCCTTGCCCCTCTGGGCCTGCTTATGCCAGCCCGGGCTGCGGGGTCTCTGCGGGAGGAAGGCACCGAGCCCTGCTAGAGCTTCGCTTTCCCAGCATGCCCGTACCTGACTCAGCCAGGGCATAAACTTCCGTGGCCGCCTGCGACACAGGGTCTGTCAGGAAAGGCACAACCACATCGGGCGGCAGCTTCTCCATCAGGAAGCGATATGCGTCCTCCAGGTGCTCCTCTGACTCCGAGTCCAGGGTCAGCTTTACGCGGTAATAATTACTGGCCCAGTCTGGGTAGGAGCCCAAGCTCACGCGTCCCTGGAAGCTGGTGTTGGCCTGGTCCAGCACGGGCGCGATAAGCATCTCGTCGGCCGCCACGTAAATGGTGCGGGAGTGGAAGCAGGTCTGCTCGTTGCGGAAGAGGTGGGAGAGCCCGTCCAGGGCCCGCTCCATGAGTGCCGGGATGCCGGGGAAGATGTAGACGTTGCGCACGCTGACCAGCGGGTACTTGAAGGCGCTGCCAGTGCGCCGGTCGGTGCCGTAGTTGAGGCGGGAGGAGGTGGGGATGCGGGCCAGCTTCATCTCAGGGCACGAAGCGTCCGTCTTGCCAAAGAACCTGTGCACCAGGGCCACGAGCTCCGGGTGGGGGACGAGGACCTCGCCGAAAGCCCGGGCCACGGCCTCGAAGGTGACGTCGTCGTGCGTGGGGCCGATGCCGCCCGAGGTGAGCACGTAGGGGAAGCGGGCAGCT